ACAGTACCTGATTAATCCGGGTCAAGTCCAGCTCTTATTTGAACTCCACATCGAAGAATTGCTACATCGCCAATGGTTGGAACAGTTCCCATGTGGAGCGTGGCCTAACGAAAATGGCACGGCAGACTACTTTGTTTGGTACAGCTGCCTAACGAAAATGGCACGGCAGACTACTTTGTTTGGTACAGCTGCCAAACAAAGATAAGTTTTTCAAAGAGCTTGCCCATAAAGGGTATGATGTATTTGGAATGAGCTGAAGAGCAAGTGATTCTTGGACAACATTCCTGGCATAAGTCTGCCAAAATACGTTGCTGTACTCTAGTTATGAATGACACGGTGAGCGCATGCCTGCGTGTGTATGGACTCCATGGACTCCACCTACATTTATGTAGGTACAGTACATGCCAGGCAGGCACAGTGGGTTGGTCAAAGACCATGATTGAGATACGAGAGGTACCTGGTTCAAGTCCTGCCTGGGAGCGGTTTTTCCAGCCGTGCTGCTACCCACAGTCAACTGGGAACTTGTGGCCAGGCACAAGGGGTACATGGATGCAGCTAATGGGGTCGCTTTCGGCACTTGTGCCAGTGGTTGTGAGACTTACCCACTCACCCCCACCGTTAGGCGCTGCATCTGCCGCTAGGGTTTATCGGGTGTTAGCGGCCGTCGTGAGTTCCCTTCGGGAACGGACACGATAATTTACTTTTAATTTACTTACAGTACATGTGTCATCAATATTTTATTCCGTAAAAAGTAGGGGGGTGGGTGGTGGGTCCTGGTTACTTTGTAAAATTCACGGATTGAAAAAACTATCGATATTTTACGGATGGCCCCTTACTAGGCTGTCCCTCCAGGAAATCGCGATTCCACGGATGCAACAAATTTCGCGATTTTGGCCCAAACCCGCGATTTTCAGCAAAATCCGCGATTTCCCGCGTTTTTTGTTGTTTTCTGCACTATATCTCACATGTTTCATGCACTTTTCACACAGTGCTTTCCATGATCCTGTAGGTTATTTGCACAGTATGACTAGTACTACTCCGGAGTTGATATACGATGCAACAAATTTCGTGATTTGGCCCAAATCCGCAATTTTCTGCAAATAATTCCGCGAATTCCTGGCAAGTTCTGCATCATTCCGCGCTTTTCGTCGCATTTTTTGTTGTTTTCTGCCGCAATTTCTTGCGCAAGTTTTCGAGAGTTTTTTCCGCAAATTCCCGCAGGGACAGACTAGGCTTAGGCGCTGCATCTGCCGCTAGGGTTTACCGGGTGTTAGCGGCCGTCGTGAGTTCCCTTCGGGAACGGACACGATAATTTCCTTACTTTTACTTTATTCTTGTTCATGTGGACAGTTGTCTGAGATTCTCAGGCTGTGTACAGACTACAGTGCGCTGTGTCCAATGAACAGAGCCGCTAATACTAGTACTCAGACAGCAATGACACAACCAAGTCATTTTCTGCCATTTCTCAGAGTTACTCATCAGACAGCATAATAATACTTCAAAAGAAGTAATTATGACGAGCTACTGAAATAAGTGCCTCAGTCACCTCTGCCCTCTTCTCTCAAGACACTCCGTGAATACCGGTCTAGGTCATGTCATGCTGTCTGATGAAACTCTGAGTGACGTCAGGAAAGGACTTGGTGGTGTCATTGCTGCACGAGCAGTCTGCATGACATTGTACTACTTATATTGTGTGCATGTTGATGTGTAGGTGTATGTGTGTGAGTGTTGACTCTCGCGCCGAAACGAGCGAGGAAAAAGC